GCTTCAGATTTGCACAGACGCAACGCTGGTTGAAGACACCAAAATGCAGATCTACACCACACAGATAGAACCGAGCTACACCCAAAATGCTTCAGATTTGCACAGATGCAAAGCTGGTAGAAGACACCAAAATGCAGATCTACACCACACAGATAGAGAGCTTCACACTACAACAACCACCCTTCAGAGTTGCAACACTACATCACACATCAGATCATCTCACAGATGCAGATCTTCACAGAACATCACAAAACAGAACACTTGCCTCAGATATTCAGCAGCACACAGATTCAGAAGCAGACCACAGAACCACAACAAAACACAGATTCAGCACCCAAACTAACACAACAGCCCCAACCTATCAGATGATTCCCAAAATCACAGGAGTAGAGCAAAACCAGAGCTGGGCAGCCACAGAATAGAACCAGCTTCTCACAATGAAGCAAACAGAGGCATGACTGATAGGGATTTTAGTATTAATGACCATGACCATGACTGATAGGGATTTTAGAACAGCCAAAATGACCATGACTGATATCCTAAGTACAATACATCACTAATATCCGCACCCAAAAGGAACAAACAGAGCTTACAGAGACACCACCCAAGCAAAAGCAACAGAGATATAAACTCAATAGCCACAAATAATTTGCCTCCAATTTAGAACAACATCAACCAAAGAGAAAGGAAAGTCCTTGAGAGAGTTTTTAAGCCAGAAAGCTAATCTGAACCTAATGAGATCCCACAGTTTATCTGGGTTCGGACTAGCATTGGTGAAGACACACTCATTTCTATGCTTCCAGAGTGACCATAGAACTACAAGTGGGATAGCTCTCCAAAAATTCCTGAGAGGACTCTTAAATTTGACACCTATCCACCAGTTGAGAAGATCTGGCACCGAATCTGGGATGCACCATTGAAGCCTCCATTCAAACAGCACATGACACCAGATGGACCAAGAGAAAGGGCAATGGAGTAAAATATGTTGAGCAGATTCAGGGGCAGAATTGCAGAAAGAACAGCTGGTGGATGCAGAGGGGCCAAGGATGCTGAGAATTTGCAAGAAAAAAGCAGATTTGATTCTATTTTTCCAAGCCAACCACCCAAAGAAATGGACTTTAAGAGGTAGAATGTTACTCCAAATGAATTTGGTAATATTAAGATTGGGCCTATGAAAAGAAGAGCTGAAGGAATAAAGAGAAGACACTGAGAAAGAGCATGAACCTGCGGAAGAAGAAGACCAAGCCAAACTATCAGCACTAGCTGGGTTCAGAGAAGGAGTAGAGGATAACAAAGCTATTAATCTCACTTCATCAGCCAGCTCCCAAGCATACAATACTCTTCTATAAAGGAAGTGCCAATCAGGGCCTGATTTCCTAACAAATATTTGGTGGAGAGAACCACTCTTTTCTGTAGAAAGATTGAAAAGGGAGGGGAACTCCTCCTTGAGATAAGAAACACCACACCACTTATCATGCCAAAACTTCATTCTGCTACCATCCCCAACCTTGATATAGCAGTTCCCCAAGAAGAAATTGAAAATGTTACTATTTTGAATCCCAATGAAGGAGATATCCTTCCACACCCTAGAGTGTTTATAAGAAGAACAAACAGGAGGATGCCAACTATGTGCTTCAATTTTGTATTTGCTGCAGATAATTTTCCTCCATAGTGCATTTGTTTGATTCCCAAATTTCCACCACCATTTGAGAAGCAGGCTTACATTCACATCTCTAATCCTTCTAATGCTCAGGCCTCCTTGGGCAGAACTCTTTGTGACCTCAGTCCATTTCACCAAATGAACTTTTCTTTTTAGTTCATTACCACCCCATAAGAAAACAGCTTCAATCTTTTCAAAATCTCAAGCCACACCTTCAGGCATCTTGAAGAGAGAGAGGTAGTATATAGGTAGGCTTGATAAGACAACCTTAACCAAGGTTAATCTTCCAGCAAAAGATAGCAATTTTCTCTTCCACCCTGATAGTCTTGATCTAATGTTATCAAGCACTGGTTTCCAAGTGGATTTCCTACTTGGGTTGGCACCTAGAGGCAACCCTAAGAATTTCAAGGGCAAGCTGCGAACCTTACAATTCAATAGCTTGGCAAACAAAAACAGTGACTCTGCTGCTACACCCACCCCACAGACCACATTTTGTGGTAGTTGATTCTCAATCCGGATAGGACTTCAAAACATCGAAGAACTCTTTTGATAATTACTACCTGATCCATATCAACATCACAGAAAAGAATAGAGTCGTCCGCAAATTGAAGATGAGATATAAGGACCTCACGAGCCCCAACCCGAACTCCCTTGAGGATGCCAAGATCAAGAGCTCTGGTGAGAAGAATATTGAGCCCTTCAACCACTATATTGAAGAGGAAAGGTGATAATGGGTCACCTTGCCGAAGACCTCTTTGCGGAGAGAACTCTTGCGTTGGTGAACCATTCATAAGGACGGAGATGCGAGCAGTAGAGACACAAGTTTTCATCCAAGAGACCCATTTAGACCCAAAACCAAAGCTAGACAGCAAAGAGAACAGAAATTCCCAATTGACTGAATCAAAATCTTTCTCAAACCTTTACCCTAACCTTAACACCTCTAAACCTTTATCGGCCCTTTATGTCCTCTTTCTTCATCGTACATCCCACCTCCATGCCACTACTATCGTTCATATACACCAAAATATCTCTCTTTTTGATTGAGTTTTTATAATGTGTTTTTTAATTTCTTTTTTCAAAAAATAGTTTGGTGAAAAAAAAAAGAAAAGATAAAACACTAATTATTTTATATGGTTTTCTCTTTTTTGAGTAGAAATGTTTTTTTTTTAAATTTGAAAAATATATTTTTGATATTTATTTTTTTTAAACTCGTTTCTAATTATTTAAAACAAAAACACAACCAAATTTAAAAAAATTTATTTTTATGCGACATGGCTACTAAAGTGGCATTTTTTCATTCAAAATTGAATGGTTACTTTATTTTGGAAGTGAATTAGAAAAATAAATTCTAAATTTTAAGACCCAAAATAGAAAAATTGTGAAACTTAAGGGTGGACAAAATAGAATTTACCTATTTTATGCCACGTGGCTGCCAAGGTGGCATTTTCCATCCAAAATTCAATAGAAGTTTATTTTGGGAGTAATTAAATTGGGAAAGATTTTAAACATTAAGGGCTCAAGTGAAAAAATAAAAAATAAATAAAGACCAAAGTGGGAAAACTCAAAAATTTGAAGGGGACAAAATGTCATTTTTTTATCAGCAAAATAAAAAGAACATTTATTGTTGAAAATTCTGAAAATTCAAAATATTACATCAATAAAGGAAGCAGATAAGTGCAAAAAACATCATAACGATGTATAGTAATCTCAACTAAATTGGCACCAAGATGCACGCCAAATGGGACAAAATGTAATTTGCCAATACTTTATTAGTGCTGATGATGATTGTAATGATTTTTCACACTAAACCTTTTGAGAGTGAAAGCAAGTTCTTGAATCGAATCAGATGCGATGGCTTTACTAAGCCATGTCAAATTGCATTTAAAATCTTATGAACAATAATTCAGTAATGAGTCAATGGATTAACTTCAAGCAGCAGCCCTTGTGTTTCACAATATCTTCATGAAAAATTAAGATGTATGAAAGTCAAAGTGATTTATACGTGATATTGTGTAAATAAATCTTCAGCTTTCATCACTTAAAAAAAAAAAGAAAAAAAAATCTTTTTTTTTTTTTTTATCAGCAAAGAAAACTTTATTGATTATAACAATGAAGAACAAAAAAAACAACCAATAAAGAGGGGGAGCAGAGAGCAACAAAGCTAAAATTTATACTGCTACTCAGTTTTTTGAAATTCTCCCTCCTCTTTGAGTCTAATTGGTTTCACCATCTCAAGTTGTAGATATGATATATTTGTGATATGATACTGATAAATGTCATATCAGTTAATAAAAAAAATTACAACTTTTAAAAAATTTAAAACATGAATTACTTTAACAATATGATGAGTGTCACATAAGTTAATACAAAAATTTTATAACTTCTTAAAAATTTGTATAGAATTACTCAATGTGGTATACATGTGATGCAAATGAAAATGATAGCAATTGTATTAATGATGGCAGTTACAATAATTATAGATTAAACTAGATAAATATTATTTATCACCACTATCATCTTATTTCGTTTCTTATGTAAATTTATACCACAATATAAAAGACAGGTATATTTAGAAAAATAGTGAAACTTCACATGTTATATGAAAGTAAAATAGTTCTCTCTGTGCTCACCACACAGCTCCGTAAAATAAAATATGCAGATCAAAAAAAACATGAAAGTAAAATAAAAATAAAATATTCTGATAATATATTACAGACATCCTGAAATTATTATTAGTGCTAATAGTCTAATTAAAACAGAGAACATGTAAATGAGGAGAAATTAGTCAATATTATTAATTCCATTAACTAATTAATACCTTTTACATTTTGCATCAATTTCAAAGTAATGTGTCCCATAAGTCAATAACTATGGAATTAGGAAAAATTCTGGGGTGCAGATGCTGTTTTCACCATGGATTATTAAACTGTTCATTTTTTATGTTACAATTTATCTCCTAAATAATAAATAGTCTATTTTCCAAATAATATTTACGGTTTGATTTTTTACAAATAAATGGCATAAACTAACATAACTATAGTTATTGGATAAATTTAATTTTTTACATAAATATATACATTCTGATCTAAAAAATAAACAATTTAAATTATCAAAATGAGACCCATAATAAGTTTCACATGTCCAAATAGCACGGTTAAAAGAAACTGGATCCATAATTATTTATAAACTACCTGAACTTGTTTCAATAATATTGAGTAATTTCTTGAAAATGATAGAGTGGGAGGAGAAGAAAAACACCACCATTGGGCCCATATATGTCTTGTCTCCTTAGTAGACTCCAGAATTGATCTTCTTTTTTTCTTTTACTGCAGTACCATTTTCTATCACCTCCTTCCCCCCTTTTTTTTCCTTGTCATTCTGATCTAACAAAATAAAAAAATTCTTCTGCACAACCATGGCAACCGAAATAGAGAAAGACTCAGCAGAAGGATCATCACGATCGGCCAGTGATCATCAGCAACAGCAGCAAAAGGCACCACCATTGAGCCGATACGAGTCACAGAAGCGCAGAGACTGGAACACCTTTGGGCAGTACTTGAAGAGCCAGAGACCCCCAGTTTCTCTGTCACAGTGCAACTACAACCATGTATTACAGTTCCTTTGCTATCTCGATCAGTTTGGGAAAACAAAAGTTCACTTACCTGGCTGTGTCTTTTTCGGACAACCAGACCCTCCTGCTCCATGCACTTGTCCTCTTAGACAAGCTTGGGGAAGCCTCGATGCTCTGATTGGACGGCTCAGAGCTGCGTACGACGAGAACAGTGTCGGTGGATCACTGGAGAGAAACCCTTTTGGCGATGGAGCTATTCGTGTTTATTTACGCGAAGTTAAAGCGTGTCAAGCGAAGGCAAGAGGGATTTTGTACAAGAAGAAAAATAAGAAGATGAAGAATCAGATGATCAAGGCAAACCATGATGAATTCAACTCTTCGAAACAGTCCGGTTAAGGAAAAGTCTTTGGATCAAAATGGTAAATTCATTACTGAGCATTGATCATGATAGCTATATAATTTGAAAGTACTATATATTTCTAAATTAGCTTAAAATTCTGCTCTTCATGGAAAGATAATAAAAAATAAAATCAAACACATCAGTTAGAAAAAGAGGTGAACACAAAAAATAGTTATGAACTAAACTATTAGCAGGTTTTTTTTTTCTTTTTTTTTTTTTTTTTTTTTTTTTTTTTTGGTGAGGCCATACCAAGTAATCAAACATGAATTTGGGTGATCCAATACCTTCATAAGAAACCCTAAACCCACCACTCCAAAACCCTAATTTTCATAATGAGTTTTAAGGCCGTAAACAAGATTTAATGAAGAACCCTGCTAAGAAATCTTACCTTAAGCATCTTTCACCCTTGCAAACAATGAAACAATAGTGCCCATGATTGGGGGGGGCAGTACACACACACTCTCTCTCTCTCTCTCTCATATCATGAAAAACACTGTTTATGTGGTTTACAAATTTGAATTTTCTCTTGTTTACCATGGTTACTCGGTTACCTTAATTACATGGTTACTTTTCTCTTGTTTTTGGCTCTTTTGGGATTTTACATGATTTTGTGCTTCCATGGATGATCATGTGATATATACTACTTTGTAAGTGATTTAAAAAGAAATTGAGGTGGAGATTAATATATCTAAAAATTCTTGCAAGCTCAAAAACACTGTTTATGTGGTTTACAAATTTGAATTTTCTCTTGTTTACCATGGTTACTCGGTTACCTTATAATTACATGGTTACTTTTCTCTTGTTTTTGGCTCTTTTGGGATTTTACATGATTTTGTGCTTCCATGGATGATCATGTGATATATACTACTTTGTAAGTGATTTAAAAAGAAATTGAGGTGGAGATTAATATATCTAAAAATTCTTGCAAGCTCATATACATTTGAATTCTCATTATAAAAACCAGAATATCTTTCTTCCCCACCAACTATGAAAATCGTTATTGAGATTCCATCAAATATAGGTCATTAGAATCCTTATTATGTTTTGAGTGATTATAAATTCATTGGTTGCATTGTTATATAATTAACTGCGGGTCATTATTAGGTATTCATAGAGTATGATCATGTGGTACTCCATAATATTATGATTAATAGAAAATATAAAATATTATAATTTTGTGTTGGGTGATTGAAGAATTTGAGAAGGCCTGATGAATGATAATTGATGAAAAAATATCGACACATGATATTCCATGAATACGTAATAATTTTCTATTAAGTACTTGGTCTCCATGAATACGTAATTAAGTACTTGCTGTTAAATGAAATTTTTCTTTGTCGATCAAAAAAAAAAAAAAAGTACTTGGTCTCCCTCAGTTGATTGAACACAGTTAAAATTGCTTGCCAATATTTTTGCGATTGGCTGTGCTGCCATTTATGTTTATATATTTACTTTGAGAAAGACAATGATACACAGGTGTGTATTGTATATACCTCATAATTAAAAAAAATAATATAATTTCATACTTTTTGAATCATAACATAAAAAAATATCATAACCAAACAACACATGAGACATAAAAAGAAGTACGATTTTTGACTTTTTATAAATAAAAAAAAAGATGTGTAGAAAATTAGAGAGTAGATATTGATTGGTGTGTAACAGAAATTGTAAAAATATCTTTCTTTCTTATTATCATATGATGAGAGTTTACAGATATTTATACACAATGTATACTCACTGAGTTTGTTACAAAACAATCTAACTAATTCACAATCTAACTAACTAACAATCTAACTAACTCCCTTTACTCTCATAACTATATCTATTATAACTGCTTTGATATCCTACACATGTGCGAGCTGAGGTGTTTTGTGTTGCCTTCTCTGTTGGCTGCACTTGTGTCTTGAGCTGCTGAGAGTGTGGCTTGAGTTGCCGATGCACTTGTGTCTTGAGCTATTGAGAGTGTGGCTTGAGCTGCTGAAATGAGTATTCCTCAATACTCTTATCATTCCCCTGCAAACCAATGGGGCTGGGAAGCACCATTAGTTTGTCCTTAAGATAATGAAACCGAGAAGAAGACAGGGGCTTAGTAAAAATGTCAGCAACCTGATCAACCGAAGGAATATAAGAAAGAAAAATTTGTTTAGAAACAACCCTTTCACGAATGAAATGACAATCTATTTCAATATGTTTTGAACATGCATGAAAGACTGGATTTGAAGCCAAAGCCATAGCCGATACATTATCACACCAAAGAACAGGGGAAGAAGAACAAGAGATGGACAACTCCTTGAGTAGCTGTTGAAGCCAACATAACTCAACAACTGTATGAGCCATGGATCTATATTCAGCTTCAGTTGAGGATCTAGAGACAGTGGCTTGCTTTTTAGCAGATCAGGAAATAAGATTTGGACCAAGGAACACACAAAAGCCTGAAGTTGATCTGCGATACACACAGTCACCAGCCCAATTAGAGTCAGTGTAGGCATGAAGAATGAAAGGACCAGGTGTGAAGGAGAGGCCTTGAGATAAAAAGCCTTTAACATACCGAAGAATCCTTTTTACCACAGCAAAGTGGCCAACAGAAGGAGAGTGCATATGCTGACATGCATGATTAATTGCCAAAGCTATGTCAGGCCTGGTTATTGTTAAGTACTGTAAGCCACCAACGAGAAGGGTTAAAGAAGGGCAAATCAGCAGCAGGATCAGAGGAGGACTTGAGAGCCATAGGAGTGGAGCTAGGCTTGCAATCCACCATGCCAACCTTAAGTAAGAGTTCACTAGCATACTTTTGTTGGGAAAGAAAAAAATCATGTGAATGAGACTAAACGGAGATGCCTAAGAAATAGGAGACAAGACCCAGTTCTTTCATGGAAAAGATCTCATGCATTTGCACAAGAAGAGCATTGATGAGAGTAGAATCATTCCCACTGAGCAAGATATCATCAACATAAACAAGAATGATGACAATAGAAGATGAAGCAGTCTTGACAAATAAAGAGGAATCTGAATGACTAAGGAGAAACCCTTGCCCACGCAAGAACTTAAAGAAGGTAGAGTACCATGCTCGAGGGGCCTGCTTGAGGCCATAAAGAGCCTTGTGGAGCTTACAAACATGAGAAGGATACTGAGGGTCTATAAAACCTTGAGGTTGATCCATATACAATTTTTTCTAAGGTACTATGTAAGAAAGCATTGGAGATTTCCAACTACTTAATAGGCCAATGGTGATGAAGAGCTAGACACAAAAGCACACGAATTGTAGGTTGTTTGGCCACTGAACTGAAGGTCTCATGGTAGTCAATACCTTCTTGTTGATGATAGCGCTTGGCAACAAGCCGAGCTTTATAGCAAGCAATAAAACCATCTGAGTTCTTCTTGATGTGGAAAACCCATTTGCAGCCAATGGAAGGCTTTTGAGAATGAAGGAGCAACAGAGACCAGGTGCCTTGATGATGGAGGGCCTGAATTTCTTCAGTCATAGCCTGAAACCAAATAGGAGATTGAAGAGCCAGCTTAGTAATGGTAGGTTCTATGTGGGTAAGATTAGGAGTGTGAGTTAGAAGAGCTTTAGTTTTGGACCTGGTAAGCATAGGATGAACATTAGAAAGAAAGTGAGAACAAAAAGGAAGATCAATAGAAATAGATTGAATAGGAATAGAGACATGGATAGAAGTGGGAGCAACTGCAGTAGGCTGTATAGCAGATGAGTGAGCAGCTGCAGTAGGCTGAGGAGGAGACTGGACATTAGGCCGTATAGTAGGCTGTATAGCAGATGATAATGGAGCAAGAGTAGACTAAGGAGCTATAGGAGCTACAGGAAACTGAGACACAGTAAAGCTGGATAGAGAAGAAGGAAAAAGATGCGTAGGAGCAGACTGAACAGTAGAGGAAGCAGAGGACAAAAAAAAAAAGAAATAGCAGGTAAAATAGGAGAGACTACAGTAGTATGAGAAAAAGGAAAATAACTCTCATTGAATAAGACATGTCGAGAGAGAAAAAATTTGCCTGTAGTGGGATCCAAGCAACTGTAGCCTTTAGTGGAAGGGTGATAACCCAAGAAGACACAAAGAGTGGATCTGGGTTAAAGTTTGTTGGAAATGTAAGGCCTAAGCCAAGGGAAACATTGACAACCAAAGTCTTTGAGAAATGTGTAATCTGGAATGGATTTAAACAATAACTGATAAGGAAAGGAATGACCTAGATATAGACTAGGCATTCTGTTAATAAGAAAGACAGAAGTGGCCATGGCCTCAACCTAATACTCAAGAGGACAGAAGATTGAGACAGTAAAGCAATAGCAGTTTGAGTGATATGTTGGTGTTTTCTTTCTGCAATACTGTAGACGTCCCCGAACGCCCCGGGAGGGAGAGTCCCGTTCCGTTCGTATTGGGGTCACTACAGCTCGGACTCTCAAATTGTCACGGTTCTAAATCTGAACCAAAGAGTCCAAATCCGGCAAATCGTTTTGAGAAAACAGATTTTGAAAGAAGTGTCAAACATGGACTGCTTTGCCAGATACAGAGTCGCCACCTAAATGTTTTATTTTGGGGAAATTTAGGAAACCCTGACTCGTTTTCCTAAGGCCACGTGTCCGTCATCACCAAAGTTGCCTCGGCTCGGGAACTTGGGTACGATTGGGGAAGGTCACTTCGTGAGCACCCCCGCTCGCCCGATCAAAGATCGGCCTCTACTAACCATGATATCTATTTTTGAAAACATTATGCGTTCTTATTCCGATTATTAGCCTAGATTTACTATATGATGCGTACAGCATACAAGTATAGACTGGATCGCCTGAATTGGAAAAAAAAAAACGTTTCATGTTTGTTTATTTTGAAAATGGTTTGATGGTGCTACCCGCAAGTAGGCTAAGACGTGGATTTGCCACCCTCGGGTGGGCTTTAGAAAACATGATTTTGCCACTATCTAGTGGGCTTAAAACTCACAGTGAATGAATTGTTCCAATCCAAATAACCAAACCTTCACCCATAGGCATTCAGGCAGTTATATCAC